AGGAGTACGGTTAGTATTACGGGTAATGCTGACGACATCAAGAAAACCTGCATCGAATGACGAATGAATCCTCAAACCAGCATTGGAGAAATTGACTCGTTGGAATGACAAACATACATCTTTGATGGGTAGGGCACTGACAATCAACAACGTAGTGCTAGCGGCTCTCTGGTATAGGTCTACGCTTTGGGCCCTCAGTAAAGAAGCAATCAGATCACTCAAGAGGCAACTTACCACCATGCCGTGGAAAGGAACTAGTGAGCTTCCAAATGTTATACGTAGGGTGGCCTGGTCGTCGGTGATCCAGCCAAAGGACAAGGGGGGGCTGAGCATCCTAGACCCAGATACCCAGGTGGTTGTGTTGTTGGTACAATGGATCAATATTTAAGCCAAACCTTCCTTGATATACTCTTGCACTAGAACAGATTGCTAGACTGGCGCGAAGCACCATGAGATGTGGATTCCTTGACCTGGCTGGAAGACCGCTATTGGTCCATACCACGGTGCCGGGTTGACAAATACTCCACCCGCGGTGCACCAAGGAGCGATCTGGCCAGGGATGACTTCCAGCCCCGGGTACTGAAGGCCTGGCGCCAACTACCCTTGCCAATAAAAAAACAGAAAAATAGATGGGAAGAGGTGACGAGGCAACACCTCTTTGGCAACAGGAATATCACTGATCAACGTGGGAGGGTGTTCGGACCCCCCATGGAACAGCTGGGTCAGAAACGACATAATAACGATCAAAGATGTATGGCAGCCAGCGAGCAGAGAATGAAAAACGGTGCCACAATTTAGAGCTCAGATGAGGTACTGCCATGATACTGAGAAGAACTTAACAACAAATCTTTGGTTAGCCTTTTCCATAAGGGAAAGGGCAATGTTGTCACCATGTACGTTCCAAACGCCGTGAGCTGGTGCCAAAACGAGGAGTTGCATAGAATTCGACTTATGAGACATAACGATGCATGTACCACATTTCTCCCCCGAACAACCCTTGCTAAACTCCCCTTTGATCCTGAGGAGTGCCATTGGTCACATACACGAAGAACACCAGCTAATCCGAACATTTTGTTTTTGTCAGTAAAGGCCACTTATTGGATACTCCAGCCATAGATGAACCTTAAAGAGATTGTGAAAGGCCTCTGGATAACCCACTTGAATTTAAGACAAGAGCCCATCCGCCCTATCCGGTGGTTTTTTACCATGAAATCCAAACCCATTAAATTCGCATTGCTGCAGTGGCAAATAGAGCACCGCTGCCTCCTGACAAACAATTGGCTCGTAGATCGTACGTACTTGGAACAGAAAGGCTTGACCCTCCCCTGGTGTAAATCTGCCATGACGTCTTCCCCTCAGTCAGGATCCCAGAAACTATAGAACACATTTTCCTGCAATGCCCGGGGACGGTCCCCACTTAATTTGATGGGACCGAATATGGACCTTCCTGTGCACGGGAGCGGCTTGGCCACGGGAGCGGCTTGGCCATGGGACTGGAGGGCGCTGAGAGAGAGAG